TATACAAACGGATGAATTCTAGGTCAGGTGAACAGCAGTCTAACTCAAATCGCCAGAATAGAGAGTCAGGGTGCCTCAGTCCATTCCCAGATTTGAGCGAGTTTAAAGACCCACAACCCCTTGAATGAAGGGGAGGCCGGATCCCCTTGAGGAAGGACTCCAATACACTGCCAGAAATTTTTATTGTTAATCTTTCTCCCAGCCTTCCCCAAAGGGATCTATGGCCTTTTACGAGAGTGACTGTTTACTGGGGAAAAGGAAATAATCAGACTTTTCTTGGATTACTGGATACTGGCTCTGAGCTGACACTAATTCCAGGAGACCCAAAACGTCACTGTGGCCCACCAGTCAGAGTGGGGGCATATGGAGGTCAGGTTATTAATGGAGTCTTGGCTCACGTCCATCTCACAGTAGGTCCAGTGGGTCCCCGAACCCATCCTGCAGTGATTTCCCCAGTTTCAGAATGCATAATTAGAATAGATATATCAGCAACTGGAAAAACCCCCACATTGGATTCCTGACAAATAGAGTAAGGGCTATTATGGTAGGAAAAGCCAAGTGGAAGCCATTAGAACTGTCTCTACCTAGGAAAATAGTAAATCAAAAGCAATACCACATTCCTGGAGGGATTGCAGAGATTACTGCCACCATCAAGGACTTGAAGGATGCAGGCGTGGTGATGCCCACCACATCCCCGTTCAACTCGCCTATTTTGCCTGTGCAAAAAACAGATGGATCTTGGAGAATGACAGTAGATTATCAAAAACTTAACCAGATGGTGACTTCAATTGCAGCTGCTGTTCCAGATGTAATTTCACTGCTTGAGCAAAGTAATACATCTCCTGGTACCTGGTATGCAGCTATTGATCTGGCTAATGCCTTTTTCTCCATACCTGTTTCAGAGGACCACCAGAAGCAGTTTGCCTTCAGATGGCAAGGCCAACAATACACCTTCACTTGCCTACCTCAGGGCTACATTAACTCTCTAGCCCTATGTCATAAATTAGTCCACAGGGACCTTGATCGCCTTTCCCTTCCACAAGACATCACACTTGTCCATTATATGGATGACATTATGCTAATTGGACCTAGTAAGGAAGAAGTGTCAATGACTCTGGACTTATTGGTAAAACACTTGGGTACTAGAGGGTGGGAGATTAATCCCACAAAAATTCAGGCACCTTCCACTTCAGTGAAATTTCTAGGGGTCCAGTGGTGTGGGGCAT